TCTCTCTCTCTCGCCCCTTTTAACTTCCAGTGGAGCTTAGGCCATCAACAACATTTCTCCAGCAAAACCCGTCCTGTGCATTCTTTTCTAACTGTCTCCATGATGACCCCCGCCTTTTTCCTTTCCACTTGTACCGCTCGCCTCCATGTCATCTCTGGTCTTCCTTTCTTACTTTTTCCTTGTGGATTCCACGTCAAAGCGTGTCTGATGATGCTTGTCGGGGGTCTCCATTTCCATTTCTTCTCAAGTATGTCTTCCTTTATTGGCATTTGGCTTGTTCTTTCCCACAATTGAACATTTTGACTCGATAAACCTTTCTTGCAATCATACAAGGGCCATTTTTGATGTGTGGAGCACCCGTGCTGAAACCAGGCCTCAACAATGGTACTGGCCCTTCGCCTCCCCCCCCTCCCCAAGCAACAACAACAAAAAAAGATTTGCCTTTCCAAACTTCTCCAAAACTTCCCAGCACTGTGAGATATCCACCGATGTTATGGCAGTGGTTTTAATGTCGGTCTCGGCCAGAAACCAGAACCGGCCCATCACGCCCTTGTAGATTAAAGCTTTTAAGAAGGATTAAGGTTTTGAGTTTTTCGCGATTTTTGTTTGAAATGATTAAAAATCAATATTACATTTCTCAAAGACGTAAACTTATTCCTTTCTTTTGACAAATGTGACGTTACTTTGATTGAATTTCATTTGTTTAACAAGAACAAGAACAAAGAACAAGAACAAGAACAGAGAACAAAAACAAGAAGGAGAAGAAGAACAAGAGAAAGAAGAACAAGAACACGAATAGGAAAAAGAACAAGAATAAGAACAAGAGAGAGAACAAGAACAAGAGAGAGAACAAGAACGTGAAAAAGAGAAAGAAGAACAAGAAGAAGAACAGCAAGAAGAAGAATTTGGCCCTCCAGCCTGTGTGAGGCACGTGTCAATAAAGCACTCACCCCACTCTGTGTAATCCCTCACAAGTCCGGAATTTTGCTGGACGCCCACGGTGCAGTCTCCGCTCACGAAAACGCCGTGGTTACTTACTAGGCGGCCCCCATATACCTATATATAGAGGATGAGCAAAGAAAAAAAAAAACAACAACTACTGAAACATTGCGCTGAAAACAGAACAAGCAAAAAAAACCAACCCCCCCCCCCCACACACACACACCCACCCCCGAAAAAACAAAACAAAACAAAACAAAACAGAAAACAAACAAACAACCCCCCCCTCCCCAAAATACAGATGAAATAGCACTTTGCACTGAGTTTCATATAAATTAATGATACGACACTCTAGGCAGCCTCTCTTCAAATATAAATAGAAAGCTGGGAAAATTGGGAGGATGGTGGGGATGGGGGATGGGGAGAGGGAATAGACAGAGCTAAAACAAACAGGACGTTTGTGCCAGAGATAAAGGCGAAGTAGCATTGCCCGTCCCACCTCTC